GTTATAATGAGTGTTTCTGTGAGTTACTGTTGGCTTCCTACCAGCTTAAAGCAGCCTGGCTTTATAATAATAACACAGCGCTGCAAATGTGCAACAAGAGGCCCAGCAGTGCTTTATTCTCATCTGAAGATACTGACCTCCAAGTCCACGGGCTAAAAGCCCTGCTCTATAAATCTGTCTCTACATTTCCTACATGTCGAATGTAATCAGACAGCAAGCACTGAGTCAAATTTGCATTTGACCCAATTCTTCCCATGTGCCTGTTTCCTTAGTTCACCCTGTCCTTCCCAAAATAAGAATCAGGGAGAGGTTTTTTTTCTTCCTTTCTTTTTTCCCTTTTGAGGGCAGGGGCAAAATAATAATAATAATAATAATATTTTATGTGGCATCACACATAATCCTGTTGGGGCTAAGCTGCAGTGCCATATTTAGTGTGTGACATTTAAACAAATCTGTGCATGATGACAAACCCAGGCTTCATTTGATGCCTGGCATGAATGTCACATCAGTTATATTCACACAGGCGGGAACAGCACTGCTGCACAAGAGTGACTTAAGATGTAAAGATATGAGGCTGGATTATTTTCTTTTTTTAAAATTTTTTTTTATTTTTTATTTAATTAGTAATATTTTTTTCACTCAGAGGAATAAATGAGTAGGTGTGCTTTGGATCCACACTCTTGCTTAGTGGTTTTTATCAGACTAAATAATATTACATTACATCTGACAACCATTCACAATGTGCTTTAGACAGCAGTGCGATGTTTCAACTCCTGTGGCAACATTTAACCTTTCTTTATCCTTACACATTTTCTCCGTGATTCCATGTAGACTTCATGCCTGCTGGCCTTGGTCTCATTAATCTAACATTTCATGTGTAGTGCTTTGAATGTGGCTAAGACACAAATTTTATTTCCTTTTTCCAGAGAGATACCATCCTGGGAGCTGACTTTCACAAGTAAATCTTTTCTATATAAGCAGGTTTGTTGATAATCTTCTTCAGATTTTCTTTCAAGTTATATTTCCATTTCTGTGCGTGTGAGATTACGAGCCAGTAGCGACATCTGCTGGTGGTGACTGAAACTTTATTTAGAATAAAGTAAACATTAAATCTCTTAAAGCAAGCTGTGCATGCTTCTGTGTAAAACCTCTTTATCTGGCCTTTTCCTCCAGGTGCGGAGGATGACGGGGGCAATGGTGGCAGTGGGCCAGGGGCTGCTCTCAGTACCCCAGCTGAAGAAAATACTGGAAGCGAGAGACTCTCTGGCCTACCCACAGGGTATGGCTGCTCCAGCCCATGGCCTTTTCCTCACCAGAGTGGACTACAGGGATACAGGTGAGAATAAAAACCAACTCTGATAACATAGACAGGAAACTGCTCAAAGTTGCAGCCAAGTTTGTGTCCCTTTCTATATGTCACATACTTAATAGATCTTTGGCATGCAGCTTATTTCCATTGCAGTGGAAAGAATCGAAAATAATTCCCATTCCTAAAAACAAGAATGACGTTTTTAATGGTGTCAATAGCAGACCTATTAGTCTACTCCCCGTTCTAAGTAAAATTATGGAGAGGATTGTCTATGAACAAATTCAACATTACCTAACAGAAAATCAGTTACTCACTCAGTTTCAACATGCCTACAAACCTGGTTATTCCACCAGTTCAGCTCTTATTCACATGACAGATAACTGGTACAAATATCTAGATAATGGGAATCTGGCCGGGGTGGTATTTTTGGATTTTAGTGCTGCATTTAATTTGATAAATCATGATCTTTTGATAGATAAACTAAAATGTTATGGATTTTCACCAGCTGCTTTGTGCTGGATGGAAAGTTATTTGTCTGGAAGAAGGCAAAAGGTTTATTATAATGGTTATTTCTCGGAGGGCTGTGAAATGAACTGTGGTCTACCCCAAGGCAGCTGCCTCGGTCCACTTCTCTACTCAGTCTTTACAAATGATTTGCCGTATGTCCTGGATAAATCTCATCTTGTAATGTATGCTGATGATTCCACCATGTTTTATTCAGCCAGTAGCTACTCTGAATTGACAAGCGTATTACAACTAGATTTGCTGAACGTGTTTGATTGGATAAGTAAAAACAACATGATTTTAAACGTGTCGAAATCCAAATCCATGTTAATAGGAAGTAGAGTACGCTTAGTCAACAGCCCACAACTAAATCTTTCCATAGCTGAATCGGTATTAGAACAGGTCACCCAGATTAAATTACTTGGTGTTACCATAAACCACCACCTTTCATGGTCTCAGCACATCAACTCTGTTATTAAGAAAATGGGACAGGGCATAGCTATAGCTAGGAAATGCTCTTTTTATATCACTTCTTCAATTATGAAAGATGTCATTAATGCACTAGTATTATCTCATCTAGAGTACTGCTCAATCATTTGGTCAGCAGCTAATAAGACAGATCTGAACAGACTTCAGTTAGTCCAAAATAGGGCGGCCAGATTAGTGTTAAGGTGTTCATATTATACAAGTATTGATAAAATGCACGATAAACTTTCTTGGCTTTCTGTACAAGCTAAATTATACTATGGCTTACTTGTATTTGCAGTATCCAGATGAAATACATAATCATGCCACACGATTTTCAACTAACCACACTTTAGTAACTCCTCGAGTTAAAAGTAACTTGAAACTATTCCAGCTTATAAAGCAACATTTTTTCCATTATGTGTACTCTATGGTAACTAGGATACCCTCCAGCCTCCATGCAATGTTGGTATTGGATAAGCAGCAGAAAACTGATGGATAGGAAAAATATTTTTACTCATATTTTCATCTTTTGGGAAAAGAAAACAAAAGGAACATTTTTATGAATTCTTCCTGTCTCAAGTTCTGTTTGTCTCCTCAGACCTGCAGCTTTCACCACAGCTGTCAGAGGAACTGCTCACCTCCACCAGGAAGGATTGATGCTACTTGAATATTCTATTTGTATGCATTTCCAAATGTCCTTATAAAACGAATATAATAAAGTTTGTGATTTAATGTATAATATGCTGTGTGTTCACTCATGTACTAAAAACAGTGATTGTACTCTAGTTCGACCTATATGAATAAGCATTAAGGGGACATACATATGAACAGCTAGATGTTCTTTTAATTCAACATATTAAGAGTACATAACTGTCCATGAACGCAGCTCAGCTACAGAAGACCACACACCTTGAACCTGTCATTGTCTACATAGATCTTTAGGTTACAACAGGCTACTTGCCCTAAACCCGATTAGGCAACGTGTACAATTATGAATTTTGTAGGTTATTGAAAATTATCTAACAAGGTATACATGTGGGCAAAAGTGTGACGTTCTATAGCCAAAACTGCTTTGTGTCCATGGGTCTCATACAGTGGTGTTACATTATGGATCAACAAAGTGCACACACTCACTGATAACGTATACATCCGAGTGTCCGATAAAACTGCATACACTTATTCTTTACCCAAAAGTCTTCACAGACCATTCCTACGGATTCTCACGCTTGAGGTCACTTCCTTCCAATTTGGCTGCATGTGTTCATTAAGTGATTTTTCATCAAGTTGTCCATAAATAGTCCATAAAATCCGCACTACCACCGACAGTCTTCTCTGTGCAGCTGGGAGCCAGATGAGGTTTGTAGAAGGTTTAGATTGACCAGTCACCGATCTTAATCTTCCAGTGCAGTGATCAAATACACCAAACATCACACATTTGTTTTTCTTGATTTTTGTACAGTCACCCAACTGTTGCAAGCTTAACTGATTTGAAGTGCTGCGTCTGTCAAAATCGAACCTCGTGAGGAATGTTTCTGCACTTCTTAGAAGTGACAATCTCAAAAATTCAGTAACTATTTTTTTTAAACAATTTTTCTGTAAATATGTACACAAGTACACATTTCCTATCCAGGCGACCATGTCAGAGCAACATAGTAAATCTGATTAGCATAGGTCCTCAAGTCAATTCAGCATTTGGTTTCAAGAAGATAATTCACACATCCTAAAGACGCCCATAATTCAATATATAATCAAAATTTCAAGTGTCAGTCAGAAATGTAAGCCCAATAGCTTAAATATTAATAACAAAATCATATGTATATAATGCACTTGAGGAAGGCATTGCGTAATTTTTTTTTAAACTCACAATCCTTAATAACAGCACAGTCTGGGTGAAGAAATGTAGCTAAGCTAAAGTCAAACTTGAAACCCTGATTGTAACGATTGAGTGGGGACAGTGATACACAAAGGAAACATCACCGTAATGGTCACATTTTCAGTTAAAAATCTGATTTTTATGAGCGATGAAGGAAGAAGACTAATGATTAATGCTCAGCAGTGACGCCAAGCTCGTCCTCATGTTTAAATTTAAAAAAAAAAGGATATAAATAGCATGCGTGTGAGATGTGTGGTTGGCCGATGACAGACTAAACACAGAAACATCTAAATGTCCATGACTTGGAGTTAGTAATGCGTTATCACTCTAGGCAGCCTTTTTTTTGGCATTTGACTAGACTACACACCCTGATGCTAAAGCTGAGGTTATTTCAGGATTAATTTGTGTCACGTGAATACAGGTTGATAAGTGTTCGATAGTAGCTATCACAGGTTGATAAGTTTGCATAGACCCTTGAACCCCAACCATCACCATTTCAATGACACAATCAATTAAAACTACAACTCGGAGCAGCATACCCAACTTCACCCTTTGTACTGATTTTGGTAGTCATAACAAAGCACGATAAAAGCTGTAATAGTCCACATGATACGGTTACATTCAGTGATATTTTAAAACATTTGCGGCACATAAAATGAGTATTTTTGTTTTTCTCTTAGGGTTTTTGTGAATCTCTTTACAGAATAGCTTGTATCATGCCACCACTACAGCCACCAGTGGCTTAAAATTTAAAGAAAAAAAAAAGTCCCGCCCCTCCCCCCCATTTAAAAAATAATAATAAATGAGTCGACTATGCCTGCTTTTACAGCATCACAATACACAGCATTAAACTCATACACTTTATTTAAAGGAGTACAAAGAGTGAAATAGGGTATGTATCAGAGACTTACAAAACGTGTCTGAGAGGAGACATATCCACATGTAAACATATGCTGTGTGTGGTTTTGCTCTTTTCTCCGACAGCTAAAAAAAAATAATAAAAGCAATAAAATTGTAGGAGCGTACAGTCCTTGGAGAGCAAAGACGTGGGGGAGGGAAGCGAGCGTCCGTCGCGTGAACACACCTTCTTAGCTGGCAATTTTCTCAATTTCATCCAGATCATCAGTGTCCAGTTTTTCAATTTTTTTATCTGCAGAGGAAGAGCACACAGAAGAGAGGGGTTCAGAGAGGGGCTGAGATTTGGCTGGAAGAAGGGCTAAGTACATGTTTTGTTTTTATTTTAAACAGCTGCTTACTGAAGTGCTCCTGGATCCTGTAGAGGATGTTCATGCTCATCTTGCTGTCCACCATATTAATGGCCAGTCCCCTTTTCCCAAATCGACCTGTGCGGCCAATCCTGTGCAGGTATGTCTCGTTGTCAGGGTTACCATCCTTGTCAATTGGCAGGTCGAAGTTGATCACCACAGAAACCTGCTCTACATCAATACCTGTTTGTAAAGAAGATGGGAGGAATAAAGAGTTACTAGAAAACAATGTACATGTGCAGGACACCAATGTTTTAATTTGACTGTAGAAATCCAATTAATTTCATACAGTCTGACATCAAACACATTCACACTTGCACTGCTGTAAAAAGTGTCTTTGATTTTTATTTATTTATATTGAGCACAGAATGAATGAGTACACGGCACACTCATGAAGCATAAACCTGTCAATCACAAAAAACCCCCACCTTAAATCAATCCAAAAAAACTATCCACTGAGACTATATCATAACAAAAAGAGTCACATGGTCAGTAACTGACCTTTTTGTGCAGGTTTAAAGGCAGTAACACATTGACTCTGGAGGCTATTTCCATCTTTTACATACAGTGTATGATAATCTTTGGCGGTGGATTAAGGCTTCCTCTAAATTGCATGTTAGGCCGTACAGTGTAGAATTTAGAAAAACTGCTGAAAACTGAAATAAGTATGAAAACAATTTCAGGATATTGTGGGCAGAAACTAACCCCAAGCCTTTTTTATAATACCTAGGACAAAAAAATAAATAAATCTGCAATTCCTTCAAAAATCCATTAATTGCCTCCCTCTGATACAATGGGTCAGAGTGAGTAGATGCAAGTATGGTATCCTGGTGACCTATGGTTATCCTAAGTGGTGAGCCAAATTCATTAAAGCTGATCTCTAGCAGCTTGAATTCAGGCTGAGACAGCTTTTTAAACCAAACTTTACACCTCAAACATATTTTTTTGCAACTTACTTTGTAAACCCACATATATATTGTGCTAACGTAACTGCAAAAGTAAGGGGAAAAAAAGTGTTTTCAAATGTAAACAGATAAAACTCATATGACAAACATCTGAACATCATTACCTCGAGCGCAAACATTTGTGGTGACCAGGACCTTCTCCTTTCCATCTCTAAAGCGTTCAATGACTGCAGCCCTCTGCTCCACTTGCATTTCTCCACTAAGCAGCGCTACCTGGTGGCCTTCTCTGGACAGCTCCCCTGCCAGCCAGCCTGCCGTCTTCCTTGTCTGAATTGAACAGAGGAAAGGGTGCGCTTCAGTCAGTTAACCAACATGCCAGGTGTGTATACAAAGAGTCCAAGTATAAAAGGATTGAGTTTGGCCCTTCCCTGGTTAAATAAAAAACAGACTATTCTGTTTAAGTTAGCTCATGCTGCAGAGCTCTCTTTTCACTTCTGGATTAAAGAGGAACAGTTTGGCAACAAATGATGACAAACAGCAAAAGAATGTGTAAGCTTATGTAAGAAGAAATAAAATTCAGCCAGAGTCGCTGTTTTTTTTTAAATTAAAGATCAACTCACATGGCAGAAGATCATGGCCTGAGCGATGGTGATGGCGCCGTAGATGTTAGAGAGAGCCTGGAATTTTTCTTCTTTGCTGTTACACAACACATAGTACTGTTTAATGGTGTCCAGTGTTTCCTCCTCTCTCTTCAGCTTGATTATGTTGGGATCAGGCACAATGCGCTGAGCAAAGTTCCACACCGACTCTTCAAATGTGGCTGAGAACAGCAACATCTGGCAGTTTTTGGGCAGCATCCTGTGTGGCAAAGAAATGAGGCATGAAACATGCACAATTTTAAAAATTTTAAAAAGCCACATGGTTCTCAAGTCTTATTTTAATTTGCTTCGGCTGACCTCTGGATGCGTATACTCTGGTCCTGGTGACCCTGCGTGGCGATCATAACATCAGCCTCGTCAAGCACAAACACCTTAATTTTCTTGGGATCAATAAACTTGAATTTACTGCACCAGTCCAACATGGTACCAGGTGTGCCAATAACTATCTGTTCCTGCAGTTTCATGCCCCGCTGCACTGGAAAAAAAGACAGACGTGCTCATACACGCACAAAAGGTTCTAACAACAATTCGGTACATAACAGTACACATGCAGCACAGCAGAAAGCACAAGCGCCTTACATTTATTTCCTCTAATGGCGTAGACTAGTTTGACTTCAGGGTAATATTTGCCCATCTGTTCAATCACTTTGCCAGTCTGAAGCGCCAGCTCATAGGTGGGTGACACGCACAAGCACTGACGACGAGAAAAGAGAGCAAACATTAAACATTAATACTGAGAGAGAACACATGTCCGTCAATGAGAGACAAGAGGAATGTTTTTGTCCAAGACAAGTCATGCTTATCACTTGGATTTCAATGGTGACTTTATAGTACAGTAAAGAAAGTTGACACTCACCTGGGGGTATTTGTTGTTGGGATCGACATGGCTGAGCATAGCCAAAACAAAGGCCGCCGTTTTCCCTGTTCCTGACTGAGACTGAGCAATCAGATTCTGTGGACTACAGGAAACAGGAAATTAGATGTACGGGTGGTAATAAATATGATGGATATCAGAATGTTATTCAGGGTTAAGAGATTCAGTAAGTCTAATGTCTGCATATCATTATTTAAAGGACACTCACGGTTCAGCCAGCATCATCGGTAAGGCAGTTTCCTGGATTTTTGATGGCCGATTGAAACCCATACCATACACTCCCTGAAGCAGCTGTGGTTTACTGTACAGAGAGGAAAAAATAAAATAAATGCCAGGATTGTGAAGCATCAGTCACAATCAGTCTGTGTAAACTCACCGTGGTGAAGATGGGCATAAAAGAGACACCACAACTAGAGATGCACCGATTCACCAGCCGGGGACTGGAATCAGCCCGGACCAGTGACCGGCTGATCAGCCTCCTGTTTGACCGATTATGACCCAGCCTGTTTCATGCAGCGCGGACAGTCGCGCATGACACTCACGACACGTGCTACGGTGTTAGTGTGGAAGTGAGTGAAGACAAAGTTCTGAGGTAAAGTGTGGGCAAAAACTTCCCTAAAAACAGGGCTACAGCTGAAGCTATCCAGTTCTCAGAGCACCAGCAGCCTCTTATGAGCAAAGGATCAACGTAGTTAAGAGGTGAATTATGGAGATGAGTGAGAAAAATAAAAGGGTCTGTGTCACATTATCTGGCGACATTATAAACACAGGGGTAAATACCTGACAGTAGCTCTATTATATAAATCAGTTGCACCTGGTTTTGTTTGGTAAAAAAAACAACAACTTATTTTCAGTTATTTTATCCTCTTTCCAGTATCAGAGGACTTTACTTTCAGTTATTTCAGATGAGAAACCTACTGAAATAGTACCTAAAAAAATACTATTTTGAATTGATGAATACTTGTATGTGCGGTCAGTTTTAGCTCTCAGAAAGAAAACTGGAATCTGCAAAAACAGGCAGGTCACACTTAAAGAGAAAAGTGAGAAATCTGAATCAGCCCAAAAGACTGGTGCATCGGTGCATCTTTAAACACAGGTCCTTGCTGGGAACTCTCAACAGATACATGTGTCAATACTGTTAAACATGACATATTAAGTGATTAGGCTACCGAGACAGACAAACAGATCTCACTCACAGCCTTAATTCTTCAAAAGACTTGACGGAGTAAAGCGGAGAGTTCGGATCCTTCTGAAGAACTTCCACTTGATTTGTTGTATTGACCAGATTATTTCGAATCAGTTTGTTTAACAAAGACTGTGCCCCTACGTCCTCTGAAACAACAAGATAGGGGAGATGTCTCTTTTAGAACAAGAGCCAACCAAGCATCCAACTAAAAGACAATAATGAATGCACACATATTTTCAACACATGTAGATAATTTACCGCATACCAATTTCGTCATCATCTGCCGCCTTCTCTCCTTCTGACTTTGCAGGTGCTGAGTCTTTTGCGTTTGCGTTTGCGGTCGTGCCTGCAATAAATAATGCCAATATGTACATGCTTGGGTTTCCTTGTTTTATGGATACTGGCTCTTACCCCAATTCAGCTGCACATGGATGCTTACCATTTTCTTCTGGCTTCTCTTTTAATTGAAGTTTTCCCATCTGCGAGGAAGAACAAAATAAACTGAGTTCGTCTGGGGCTAAATAATTAGTCTGACTTTTCCAAAGCCCCCCTCCTTCATATGCCGGTTAGCCAGTTAGCTGCTAAAGCTATCAAACCGCTGAGCACGCAGCAGCTCTTCACGAGCTAATTCAACTTAGCTCTGAAGCCAAGCCGGTAGTTTCGTTTTCGACCTAATGAAACTCTACAGAGACGGGCGTCACCGGGAGCCACTTTATTCACTGATGGCGCTCTCACTGAATAATTTCAGCTGTCCACGTTAAAAACAGACTACCGAATTTCTTCAACAGTGTGCCAGACCAGGCCAAAGCATTTACCAAGCAGGCTAACAACAGGTTAGCCCGTGTTGCGTAAGTTAAGCCTTACCGAGTCCAACGCAGCTTCTTGCTTGTCCACTGCCTCAGCCCAGGAGTCCGTAGCCATTGTGGGACAGTTTCTTCTTCAGTTATTATACTCGGGGAAGTCAACTAGGAATTCTAGCTCAGGCTTAAGAGTCAATAATGTGTAAGTAACTATTTTCCACAATGGCGTGCAGAACCTGAATCTGGACACATGCGCAACTGATTACGTCACCGGGTACAACACAAGCTCCAAGAAATAATAGTTCCCAGCTTCCTGAAATTTCATACACACCTCACTGAAGCCTCAGCTATGACGGGCTCTCATGGTTAAAATGTGAAGAAAAAACATTAAATGTTGGGAATAAAAAAAAGTCATGAACTCTTGTTGAAAATCAGATGATTGGAATCGGATTTGCTAAAAGAAAAAAAAGAAAATCACTATACTCTTCTTAGCCTCTAGAGGGTGCCACACTGCTCTCTATAGGCCCACAGCTACTATGTATTCACAGTAGGCCTTGTATGCAACATCCTTATCTGTGTGAAAAATGACATTCTCAGGTAAAATATTCTTTGGTTAGCTTTATAAAGGTTAGGTCGACGTTACGATGGGGTTAGATTAAGGTCAGACTCAGGGTGCGTGCTGTTCAATTAAATGCATTATTAAGGAAAGTGGGTGTGTTTGTTTGTGAAGTTTACCAGACTTTACCAGCCTCCTCTGCCCAAGTTGCTCTTGAGAGACGTGCGCCTTCTTTTCTTTTAGACAGTTTTTAGCTTTCAATCACAGTTGGGTTCAGCTTAGGCAACACAAGTATTTGGTTAGGTGGAGGGAAAGATCATGGATTAAAATGCCTTAAAAACTTACCCAAATCTTAGACAGCCTTACAGAAAAACATGTAAAGCTAACTTTGTCCCATCTCTGTTCACTGGATTTCCAGTCTCATTGCATGTTGAATAATCCAAAATTAATGGGGCCTATAGACTGTATATAAAATATAGACATAGCTTCAAGACACTTTTCAAGGTTGGAAAGGTGAAAACTGTAGCCTGTCTGGAGGCCATCATAAGGCAAAAGCTGTGGCTGCACAAAGACTTCTGGATCTCCAGAAAGGTATGTGTGTGGTTTTCTAAGATGGTGACTTTGAAATGCTAATCTTCAATATGAGACTTAAGAAACCAACGGTGGACATCATGGTAGCTACTTTGACTTTGCTTCCAGGTCTGAACTTCCATTCCTTTGAAAGCCTACAGGGGCTGAAACGTCCAATATCTTGCAAAAACTTCCAGTTACACAGATGTGTATGAGAAAATATCAAATCACTACTTTCAAGTCATATTTGAATAACTTATGAAGTTAATTGTAGTTAGAATCACAAATGCGGTTTTGTCCAAAGTATGCTCATCTGCTAACAAATTGATAGTCACAAGTCATTGAGCCAATGAGCATTCAGTGTACTGATGGGAATAATAGGAAAATAGCCAAGTGACCAACTGAGCACAGCTGGAAATTTTCTTTTTGTATGGTGGCTGGAAACCTCACTATTATTCAGAAGGAAACTGCTACTTGGCTGGGAAGCAAGATTAGTAACATTTATGAGCCTTAATTGTGATATTTTAATGACTAATGTTGGCTTGGGGAAAATAAATAAATAGAATTAAAAAAGACAAAGTGAAAGCAGTAAAAATTAATAAACAGGCAAGCCCTATATGTGTTTTTCAGTACCGTCATAATCTCTGTGGCCACATCCTAAAGTACATCTTAAGAATTTTTTAAACTGACAATTGAGATGAATAACCTTTTAGAATGATGTTTAAACTAAATTGAGAGTTAACTTCTGTTCAAACTGACTTGTTTCTGCAGCCTAACGTCACCATATAGTGGAGTTGCCCCTGCTGGTCAGTAGAGAAAATGCCATTTTTAGACTTAAACGATCATTAGTTATATTAGTGATTTTAGTGCTGTAAATCATGCATGCATATGTCAATATACCTGCTGTGGTTTGCTAATAAATATAGACATTCTCTTCCAAATTAGTGTCCGAGTGATTTTAAAATTCTAAAATACCGCTCATCTCCACTGATCTCACTTTGGTGTATCAAAACCGAGTCCAGGGTTGTTATTGACAGCCTCACTGAAGTAATCAAAGAGAAAGCCCCAGATACCAAGACCACCAAATTAAGAACCTCAGAAGCATGAATGAGCCTCTGCTGTGGTGCAGTGACTGTACCAGTATCATTAAAGAGGAAGAAGCAGTACTGAGTGAGTGAGAGAGACTGGATTCCAAGATTAAACAAAATCCCTTTGAAAGTTTAAATCACTGCATTTCACAAGTTTCTGTGCAATTCAAATTCCCAAAAAGTTGGCACACTGTGTAGAATTTAAATAAAAACAAAAAGCGATGATTTGTAAAATCTCATAAGGCCAATTTTTATTCACAGTAGAACAAGAACACAAATAAAATGTTTTAACTGAGAAAATGTACAATCTTCTTTCTGTTTTTTTCCATTTTGGAAAAAAAATTAGGACAGGGCAATGTTCACAACTTAGTAGCATCAACAACAGTCTGAAATGTCTGCGAACTGAGGAGTCCATCTGCTGGACCTTTGAAAGATGAATTGACTGCAGGCCGGCCAGTTCAGCAAATCCTTCCTTAAAACAATGTCGTCAGGATGGGAGCAGATGTTACTCTAAAATCTGCATATATCTTTTAGGAATGATGGTGTCTTTCCAGATGTGCTAGTTCTATAGGCACTAATGTACCCCCATACAATCAGAGATGCAGCTTTTGAACTTGGACTTAATAAGCTGGATGTGGTCTCTCCCCTTTAGTTCAGAGATTCAGCGCTGGTGTTTTTCAAAAATAATTTTAAATTTTCTTTCATCTGCCCACATAATAGTTTTCCTCTTTATCTCAGTGTATTTTAAATGAGATTTGGCCAAGGACCATATTGGATCATACTCACTTACAACTACGTCTTTGCATGTAGAATCTTTAACCTTCATTTGTGGATGGAGCTGAGCACAGTTCACCAACTGTGCTCACGACTAAGATTTCTGGAAGTGTTCCTGAGCCAGTGCAGTGATTTCCATGACCGATTCATGCCTGTTTTTAATGCAGTGCCACCCAAGAGCCTGAAGATCAGGCATCCAGTGTTGACTTTCGACCTTGTCCCGTGCGCACAGAGATTTCTTCACATTTGATAATGATATGAAATGAAAATGACGAGATATTCAAAGTCCTTGCAATGTTACATTGAATAGACATATTTATGAACTTTTTCCATAATTTCAATTTGCGTGTCTCCATAGTGTCGTGCTTTACACATTTACCTAACAAGCAAAAGATCCCTTAATCAGTCCCACGAGGAGACGCAACTCCCTTTGGGAAGGACATCTAGCATAAAAATCTGCCAACTCAAACATATGGAGCTACCTGCTGCATAGACCCCTTGTGAATAAGAAAGCTGCCAAAAGTAGCTCTACCATAATTTGTAGATGCAGATTGGTGAACCTCTGCAAATCTTTACATCTGAAAGTAAAGATGTAAACACCCAGTCACATTACAGACTTAGACTTACTCAAAGTGTGCATTTTCACAGCTTGAACATTTGATGTTTTCTATGCTCTTCTGTTAAGAAAATCTGGGTTTGTGAGATTTTTCAAATCAACTGCATCCCAAATTTTTTACCCCTCAGCCCTAAAGAGCTGGCATGGTTGGTGTGGACACCTGAGTTTGTCAATGTGATAACTCAAGAACGAGGCAACGAGCTTCAAATTGAAAAAAGCATGGATGAGTTTGAATCTCAGTGAAGTCGATCTCAAGGTTAGGGTCAAAGGTAAAGTTTTATGCAAACAACTCTAGAAGGAAGTCAACCAAGATTTTCAAATTGATACCATAGGCACAACTATTAAAAATCTCAGAGGAGTTTGGATCTCAGTAACCTCAAGATCAGAGTAAGTAAGTCTGAAAATCTTGTGATAACTTGAGAATAAGGTGACCTAGGACTAAGTGTCTCGACTAGGAGACGGAGTGGAAACACTGGGGGTTGCCAGCATTTCTGGAACTGGCATTAACCAAAGCCTCTAAACTAGATTTGTTTAAAGTAGCAGGAACACAGTGAAGTGAAAGTGAGTCACTCAGTAAATCTGAACCTGAAATGCAAGTAAAGGTTTCTAATGAGTGCCAGTGATCATTTAGTAATCATTTATGTATTATTGTAGGTTTTTTTTTTTTTTTACCAAATAACATAAAGCACAATAGGAAGACTGTTGTTAGAAAGAGTATTTCTGCTTTTCTTCTGGTCCTGCAGAGCAGACTTTTTGTTGTTGCACAATTAGTGCTGTGGCAAAGTTATCCCAGTTTAGTGCTTTAGTGGAAACTAGGCTATTAACCAGAGTTGAACTCCACTAAGGATCATTCAGGAGCACTGGGGGTCACATCTGGAGCAGGAGTGCTGTGGCTGACTGCTCCTTAATTGATTGCAGAATGGATTTCGCACATTTTGTCTCCTCCGCTGGGATAGCTAGATGGTGACTGTGGCTTTGGACTTTGCTGGAGCAGATTGCACTGATCTCTGTTCTGTTCTGACACCCAGCACTTAATTCCCCTGCGTGTGCATTAGTTTGAGTTTATATGTATGTTAGTGGGCGTGTTAGCATGTGAGAAAGGATACAGGGAGACTCTCAGATCTTCAGTTTGGAGACAAATTTTTGTCGGGGGCTTGATAGAGTAGAGTTTATTGTTGCCTCCAATCAGCTGCCTTAGCAGAGGTATCCATGGCAACTGAAAGAGTAAAAGTAAGGTTTGAGGTCTCCAGAGGATTTGGAAGAGACAGAGAGAAGGACTTTGTATTTCCATGTAGCACTCATTTCAAGAGCTGAATATGACAGAAGGGATATGAAAGTAGAAAAGTAGAGTGGTCGTGGTGCGAGCGATCTGAGGAGAGATAAACACGCAGCCCACAAATGCATAATGTAAGATCACTCAAACGCTCCTCCATGCTCCCACATTGACAATGTGTCAGTGTTTAGGTAGGAAGTATAATATATATGCTCCATAAAATTACACTTCAACACTTCAGCAAGGCGCAAGCTGGAACTTGTCTTCTAGGGTTAAACAGGGATCTGCCTCCTCCTCTTCCTTCGTTATTTAAAAATGCAAGTGATGCAAATGCAAAAGCATCGCCAGGCACGGGAAAATTCAAACCTCAGAGTTCCTTTTGCAAGAGGTGTTGTGTTTTA